AAAAAAAAAAAAAAAAAAAGAATGCCTATCCTCCCATTCCACAAGTCTGAACCCTGCAGAATAAACCCCAACCTTCCAGGCCCAACTGTGGAGGCTCCAACCCCTCCTTTGAGAAGTCTTCTTTGCCCCTTGGCACTTCACATGACATCCCTTGCTCTCAATTCCCATAATACTCTCATGCCCCCTCTTCCTGTACGAAGCACTCTCTGCCTTGTATTCTACTTAGGGGGGCATGTGACTCATCTCCTGGACTAGGAGCTCCTTGAAGGCAAAGACCATGTCTGACTCATCCTCAAAATTCCCCTTCTATGATCAGCCCCTAAACCCCTAAGCCTGGGAGGTAGAGCAAGATCCTATCTGTAAAAAACAAAACAAAACAAAAAAAAACCCATGGCACTCAGTCCTTAGTAGAAGGTGGTAAATATATGTTTGACTAAATCAATTCTGACCCACTATGTCCCAGCCCCTATTTCCTCCTTTTAGGAATACTGTCTGAGAACAAGCCCTTCCTATACAGAGTCCCCTTCCACGTAGCCAGCTGCCAGAGGCGGTACATGCAGCACTTACATCCAGGTCCATTTCTGGGTATTTCCGGCCCTTGCTTTTCCCCAGACACTTGGTTTTTCCTCCTTCTAGCAGTTGACACCAAAATCCTTTCTTTGGATCGAACCTGTGGTAGGGGACAAGAGGGAAGCCTCTGGATGAGAGCCGGCCTAGCCCATCACTTCTACCTCAAGGCACTGCTCATGGACCCCAGCAGCAGAGCCCAAGAATCTATTTCCCTGTGTACACACTTGAGCCCACACTGATGGGGTGGCCTACTATTTGCCATCTGTTAGCCCAACGTTCTTCTCTGGGTTACATCTGCCCTTCTTCCCAGCAAAGGGCATCTCATATGCTCTGAGTCCTCTCCAGGCTGTGCAGCCTCAGTTACTTCAGCAATCCACAGCATGAACGCTTTCCTAACCTCCATTATTCTGGGAAATCTTTTCTGAGTATTCCGTAACTCAGTGGTGAGTAACTTTTTTTTTTTTTAACTCCAAAAGCTTTCTTTGTCTCTCCCCAGCTTCAAGTGACAATAGGGGAGAAAAAAAGTTTATGGAAGGTTCTTTTGCTTTTGAATACATTGTATCTTTATCAAGAAATGCAACATCTGCAGCTGCACTCAAGGATGCAGAGATGACAGCGCAAGCCTGCCTTCCATATCCAGCATCATGCTACCTTCAAAGGCATTTGGGGAATATGTGACTGGAAGCTGCCACAAGGAGGGGAGGCATATTGGTATCTATCAGAACTCAGCCCAGATCAGGAACCATTAGGAGACTCCTGAGCTTGGGGGCATCAGGAAAACAGAAGTCACAATCTGGCAGGTCAAAGAGACTGAGATTTCTGAATGGGTCACAGGACAGGCATAGATGATAGTGAGGACGATCATGACAAAGACAATAGCAGCTACCATTTATTGAGCACTTAGTATATGCAAGGCACTGAGCCAAGGGCTTCACATGCATGCTTTCACTCAATTCATTGACCCTTAGGGAGTAGGAATTATTATCTTTATCCTTAAACTATTACCTTTATCCTTTACAGATGAAGAAAGTGATACTTGAAAGGCTAAGGAAATCGATCTGGGATCCTAATCCAGTTGTCTCTGATACCACCAGCCCACACACTCGGCAAGTGGCCCTTTCTGCCTTAAGGTGATGTACCGATTTCTCTCCTTTCTCCACCTTCAACTTCTATGACAGTGAGAAGGGAGGATTCTTGCTATACAACTTTTTCAAGAAGGAAGTCAGGGGCTCGGCACCTGTAGCTCAACAGCTAGGGTGCCTGCCATGTACACCTGAGCTGGCGGGGTCAAACTCAGCCTAGGCCTGCCAAAGGACGACAATTACAACCAAAAAATAGCCAGGTGTTGTGGTGGGTGCCTGTAGTCCCAGCTACTTGGGAGGCTGAGGCAAGAGAATGGCAAGAGTTGGAGGTTGCTGTGAGCTGTGATGTGATGGTTGCTGTGAGCTGAGGGCGACATAGTGAAACTCTGTCTCAAAAAGAAGGAAGTCAAGGAGGGCGACTTTATTCCTCCTTCTGTTGGGGTCCCCTCATCCAGCCTCATTTGTGACACAGCACTGGAAGGCAGCCTCTCCCCAGCTCCAGGCCCCCGTGATGCAGTCAGGTACTTACTCATCACAGGAGGGCATTTCAATGTTCTGCACCAGGTTCTGAGTCAATGGATGATTAGCCACAACAATAATATCTGGAGTTTCCTTTTCCTGAAATTCTATTTCAAGAAGTCAAAATCGAATGCTAAGAAAGCCTGTGGGATCTGGGGCTGCTGATCTAACTTATTTAGAAAAATCTCTCTGAAAAAGTTCAGCCCAGACTTGAGAGAACACCCCAGGCTGGTCTGGTGAGAACAGAACCGATTCATCACCTTCTTTTTTCTTAAATTGATACCTTATATGACTTGAATCATATTAATAAAATTTCATACTTGTTGACTAATTAGCTTGTGACTCTCCTACAACCATTCAAGCCTTCTGGCTCAGGTGCTGCTGAATGGCCAAGACAACACTCACGCCAAAGTTTTGTGGTAGTCAATGGTGTTGGTCACCCCAAGGAACTTCTGCACTGTGTCCATCACTTTGGCAGGTTCTGTTCGCAGCAGTTTACCATCCAAGACCAGAATCTGGAAAGAAGGAAAAAGAGAAAGGTGATCTTTTGGAACCACTTCAAAGATAAAGGAGATAAAATAAAGAAAGAAGGAAAGAGAAAGGTGAGCTGGACCTGCTGCCACACTAGTGGCAAAGAGGAGCAGGAGCCACAGCAGCAGGAAGGTGCTTGCTTTACAAATCTGGGACCCTGCACTCTCTAGAATCTGGCTCCTCTTCTATGATGAATGACATGTATTTCCAAGCCTCAGTCCCCTGTGGTCTAATCCCTGCTCTCTGTCAGCGTCCCCTGCCTGAGGTCATCCTGTCATCTCTCTTAGTATTCAAGCTATCACCTAAACCCTGCTACCCCTCATAGCCGTACATCTCTCTTCCAGCCTCTCTCTGAGCTTCAGGCCCAAATGTCACTCTTCTCAAATGCTCCAAGTATTTCCCTAAAAGGCATAATGTGATCTGGCCCTACCCACCCCTCCAACCAGGCTCTCCTTCCATCACTACCTGCCCAGACTCACTACTCCCAGCTGCCCACCCCAGGGCTTTCTGGGTCCCCTTAGGGCCACAGAGCCTGTGTTAATAGGACACAGCTTTGAGGAGTTCTCACCTATCAACCTGGGGATAAATAAGACTAAAACTTTTTTAAAAACACAAAGGCCTAACTCTATAGAGAGTGTTTCTGGCTCCAGAACAGGTGAGAGATATTTTGAGGCTTTTTGCTAACCACAGCAAGCCAATACTGTGACTGCCCTCCCAGAGGTCAGGGAGAGGCAGCTACCTGGTTGGCATGAAAGGCGCTGAGCCAACGCTCGATGTGGGTGGCATACCAGCCGGGGACCAAGCAGCGGTTCTGGAGGGCGCGCAGCTTTGAGGACGCATCAGGGCCGGCTGTGATCACCTCATGGAAGGTGTACTTCAAGGCCACTGGGTCATCATGGGCTCGCTGGTGCTGCAGGCAAGGGGAGAAGGTCAGTATGGCACATGGAAGGCACAAAGGAAGTGGCCTTCATGGGGCACCATGAGGTGCCCAGAAGATCCTAGGCTATAAATAACCAGGAGCCCTGGGTTCAAGTTCTGACTCTGCCTCTCACTGCTTTCTGGCCTTGGAGTCCCAGTTTCCTCATCTCTGCAAGACGGGAGTTGATCTAAGGCACAGTATAAACCTGGTAATTCACACACCATCTCTGTGTTTTTTGCCAAACCCACAAACCACTTGTATGACCCAATGTCAACACAATTCTCTTTATATTGACTCATCTTTCTTTTTCACATAAATTTATTTCAAAAGAAAACTCAAAATCACCTCCATAAATAGAAAACTAGGATCAGTTATCAAACATAGAAGGCAATCATTCATAAATGCAATATAAATAAGGCAATGTTCTCAAACTCCAGCCAGACACAACTGTCTGCTATAGGCCCTAAACTCAAAGCGTGTGATCTTTTATTAAAAACAGAGCTTAGCAGTATAAGAAAGGACAAAAAAGCCACTTGCACCAAATTGAGCATTTTTCCTTTCTGAAATCAGAAGGACTGGGAAAGAGGTGTAAAACAGGAAAATGCTAAATCTGAACCACCTAAAATAATGCCATGGTTCAACAGAATTTTCAGAACTCTCAAAGTCCAGAGCTGGGCACCTGCCTAGCACGCAATATCCTCTACCCTCACCAGCCAATCCTCTCCACTAGGGATCATACACAGACCAGGGCGGGGGCAGTAATGAGGCATAGCGGCCTCCTCTTCATCTTCATCTCCTTCTGAGACAGGCCACCACCATCCTTTCAGACCCTTCCTGGATCCTCCCAGTGGAAACTAGTCTCTCTTCTCCTTATCTCCCTCACCCCTCTTGACCAGGGACAGAAAGAAGTACAGGGTTTTAGACTGAGAAGACCTAGATTCATAATACCACCACGTAAAACTTCCTGAATCTTAGTTTTGTCATCTGAGAAGGGGACATACACACAAACCACTCTAACAGAAAAGAGAAATGCCCTACAAGTGTTTCCGGGTTTTTTCCTGTGAAGAAAAAGCTCACAGGAAAGGCATCAGAGCACAGGCAGAAACCCTGGAGAGAGAAAGGAAGAGAGGGGCTCCTTCTCAGGCTCCAGGAGTGACGGGAGGGGGAGAGGCTCCTATGGGACCAAGAGGAAGAAGGATCTGTACCAGCCTCCTGCCAGCACTGTGGGGGACATGTGGACGCCCCAGACAGGAGCAGCCACTGAAGCATCCAAGTGAAGAGGCAAAAAGTGGCTAAGCCTTAAGGGGCCTTCATAACCAGAGGGGGTGAGTAGCTCCCAGGAAACCACAGGCCTGGGTACCCCAACACTAAGAATATGCCTGGTCTGCTGGTTGATGAGGACATCAGGACTTTGGCCTTAGACAACAAGGCAGTTGCCTGCTGGGGTGCCACTTTATTTTTTGTTTGTTTTATTTTTCACCTTTATTTTATATGCATGGTTTCTTTCAGTGAGTAAATGCCCTGGAAAATTTATTCAAGGAAGAACACTTAGCCCAACTTAATGAAACTGATGTCCTTTGCGCACTGACAGAAACACTGGCAGAGGCCGGGCATGGTGGCTCATGCCTGTAATCCTAGCACTCTAGGAGGCCGAGGCGGGTAGATTGCCTGAGCTCACAGGTTTGAGACCAGCCTGACCCAGAGGGAGATCCCGCCTCTGTAGTCCCAGCTACTCAGGAAGCTGAGGCAAGAGAATTGCCTGAGCCCAAAAGCTTGAGGTTGCTATGAACTCTGATGCCACAGCACTCTACCGAGGTCAACAAAAGTGAGACTCCATCTCAAAAAAAAAAAAAGAAAGAAACATTGGTGGTACATACTGAGGCCCTATTTCCAGATCAGATCATATTGGCTTGAGCGGCTGTGACAAGATCAAGAACCCTGGCTGTGGGTGGCTCCAGTAGAGCTACTGGTGACCCACCTTGCTTTCAGGAGTACAAGGCAAAAGAAAGCAGCGGGAGGGTGCTACTTCTGAATCAAAGTATTGGACAATGTGGCAACAACCACAGAAGACTGACAGGCAGAGAAGGGACTCTCTCCTATCCCCATGAAAGGCCCAAAAGTGTTCCTCTATGCCCAGCAGGTTGGCACTCAGAAGAAATTAATTCAGGTCATAGAAGTTAAAGAAACTTCTGGTTCTTACATGTCTAAGTAGGAACGAGGAATCATTCCTCTAGCATGTACCACGGTCCAGGTAACTGCCTTACCTGATCAGGTGTTTGCATCCTCCACTAACACAGCAGCTCCTGTGTCTCATCCCCGGAGCTCCCACTCCCACCCCACCCCAGTGTGCAGTGAGGAAGCTACACTCAGCGTGAGCCCAGATCCCTATTCACCAAATCTATGCTTCCTCAAGGTTTACACAGACCCTACTTCTTGTCAGGGTCAGAAACAGAGCAGGGCCTCACATGAAGTTTGGGGGTGGGGTAGTTAACTGTTGGTTGGCGGCTTTTGGCATTAATTTCTGCCTGTGTCCTCCACCAGGCTAGAAGCACCATGGTGGCAGGACTCTCTTCTCACCCACTACCACATTCCAGGTGCTTCACTCAGTGCTGGCACACAGTAGGTGCGTAATAAATATTTGTTGAGTGAATGAGTAACTGAGTATCAGACCAAGCCCCGCACCCCTCTACTGAAGGACTCCTCCCTAGCCCTACTCACCTGGTACCAGGAATAGGCCCGGTCTGCTGGGTTGATGAGGATGGTCAGGACCTTGGCCTTGGGTAACAAGGCTGCTGCCCGCCGGGGCGCCACTTCTGAATCAAAGTAGTTGGCGCTTTTCTCAAAGTAGAAGTCGGAGGTGGTGTTGGAGGGGATAGGGAAGAACTCCATATACCTGCAGGAAGCCCAGAGAGCGGGGCTCACAGGCAAGACTCATGAGGAAGGGGCCTGAGGAATGCAGCAGGAGAGGGTAAGGGTCGCTGGGGGTAAAACCTACTCAGAAAGCAAATGGGGCATACTGCTCCCAATCAAACAAGGACTACCTCCAGCAGGGAATCTACAGGGGAATGGCCACTTGGCAGTCTCCCTAATCCAAATCCGTTCCTTTTCAGGGGAGGCTGTGGGGTCTAGAGGGTCTGAAGACTCACAGGTGTGCCACAGGCTGCAGGGCATGGGGAGAGGGTTGTGTCATTCAGTACTAAATGCTGGATTCCGCCCTCTCCATGCTCCTGCAGCTACACTGACAGGGTTCTAACTCTCTCAGCCTCCAGGGGGCGCGATGGGGCTTAGAGTGGTTCCATGGCTAACGGCTGATTCAGGAGGGCCTGTGCAGGGCAGAGGGAGGCCCTCTTCTCCCTCCAGAAGGCAGGGGTTTCTTTCCTGATCTGGAATGGCACTTTCTGAGCTGACACTGTAGACCAGGAGACAAGAGGGGGTCACTACTACCACCCATATTACCTCCCCAGCCTGCCGTGGGTAAGCACAGCTTTCCAGACTAATGCCCATACCCCTCCCAAAGAGATGGCCACCTCCAGATTAAGGACCTTTTGAAAATGAAAACACTCCCCACAAGGGCACTTATTTATGCAAAACTGGGGTGCAACTTCAGGGGGAGGGTTATGGGAAGCAAAGCCCACCCTAATTAAGGGTGTCAGATCCCTATTCTATCCTGTGAAACAGTTTCTCCAAGTAGTCCCAAGGATCCCCTATATCTGAGTCACTTGGGGGCTTGTCAAATCCCTGTGCCCTGCCTTAGACCTACCCATAAAATCAAAATTCCAGAAATGGGGACAAAAAATCGCATCTCTCTCATCTTTCTGAATTGTCTTTTGTACGTCCACAATCTTTTGTTCATAACATCTAAATTGAGAAAACTCCAAAAATAGAAGCTTTCTTTTCTAAGTTTGTAGCAAAGCCATTTGGCATAAAACCTGATTTATTAATATTTTACTTAGTGCAAACATTCACATACTTTGCAATAGACATATCAATGCATTTGCCATCGGGTGCTGCCCCAGGTGCTGCTGAAGACGTTGCTAAACACATATGGTTTTGTACCGTATTACCTTTCTAAAATCTGAAAAATGCTGACTTCCAATAATACATCTGGCCACATTGGCTTTTATATTAAGAGATTATGTACATGTTAGAGATATAGAAGGATGGATGGATGCATGGATACATAGACAGACACACAGGCAGGCAGACAGATGGACAGAAAGATAGGTAAAAGAGAAATACACACAGAAAGATACCAAAAAGCAAACAAAGAGGACCATAATCTCTCCACCCAGATACTCCACTGATATAAACAAATAGATGAGGGTGGGACTAAAAATAATAAATAAATAATGGTAATGTATGTACAAGTTTTTAAAAGGCAAACAATAGCAAAAGATGCAAACTGAAAAACCGGAGAATAGCTCAGGCCTGTAATCCTAGCACTCTGGGAGGCCAAGGAAGGTGGACTGCTTGAGCTCACAGGTATGAGACCAGCCTGAGCCAGAAGGAGACCCTGTCTCTAAAAATAACAGGGCATCATGGCAGGCGCCTGTAGGCCCAGCTACTCAGGAGGCTAAGGCAAGAGGATCACTTGAGCCCAAGAGTTTGAGGTTGCTGTGAGCTGTGATGCCACCGTACTCTACCAAGGGTGACAAAATGAGATTCTGTCTCAAAAACAAAATAAACAGCAAACAAACAAAAAAAACTGGAGAATAAAGCCATCTCTGTACCGGCCCCCACACCCTTAAGGGAACCTCTGCCAAAGGTTCTGGTGGGAAGCTACCATGTTCACCACCTCTTGAAGTGATACCTTAAGGCTGGCGAGCTGCTTCTGAGGAGTCCACAAGGACACCTGCTCCAGCAGCAGCCCATAGTGAGAAGGGCCAGGACACACAATGGGAAAGTGAGACACTGGATTTTAGCCCCTATTCTGTACCCAGCAGACCTGTGATCCTGGGCAAGTCCCTCTTCCTGCCCTGGGACTCAGGATGTTTCTATGCACGCAAAGGAATGGACTCAGACTTCAGCAGTCCCTGGCCCCAGGCGACTAGGCAAAGGAGCCAGGGCTTCCTCCTCAAGTGTCTTATTGGTGACAGCATTCTCACGCCCTCACTCAGGGTCATCACCCTCTGTCTCTGTTTACAGGAACCTTAACTGCGTGTGAGGTGAACCAGCTGCTTCCTGCCATGGTCACAGCAGGCCCTGGAAAGGTCCCCCTGATGCCTCCCGTCCTGCTGTGGACAGGAGGCCACTCACCAGTCGATGCCTTTGTGATAGTTGTGGCCGTTAAAAAACTGGATCTCCTCAAAGGTCTCCGAGCTGGGGTAGTTGCTGCTTAGGTCCGGGTGCAGGCCCAGGAACAGGTAGAGCGCTGTGGTGCCTATGGGGAGGGGAGGGGAGGGGAGGCCACTGAGACCCTGGCCCAGCTCCCAACAAGAAAGGGGAGTCTGGGTTCTGGGCCTAGCTCTCCATGAGCCACTAATAGTTCCTAGGAAGTTCCTTCTCTTCTCTGGGTCTCAGCATCATTATCTGTATAATGAAGGAACTAAATATACTCAATCCAGGACAGCAAACGTAACAGGCACGTGGACACCCTGACTCCTGTAACCATTGCAGACATCAGTGATCCAGCACAGCCTCATCACCTCTAAACAAGGACTCTGCTGGTCCTTTTCAGCCCTTGAACCTCTGTCCTCTCTGGCAGTTGGGAGGAACTCAGGGGAAAAGGAGCTCATGATCCTCCATTTCTATGAATGTGAAATTCTCTAAGACCTATGAAATCAAGTTTTGATGTCTTCTCTTCCAGGTGCCCCCCACCCCTGTGCTCCCTCCCTCCCTCCTCCTCAGGGAGTTCATTCATTCTCTGAGATGTGACTCTATGGTTTATATGCTATAATGAGAGAGTCTAGAAAAGAAAGATGCAATTAAAAATATATGCTTTGGGGTAACAGAGACCAGGGTTCAAGACCCAGAACTGCCATTACCCAACTAAATGTGTTAAGGGAAGTCATTTAACTTCTCTGAGTCTTGAGTTTCTTGGGGGTACCCATTTGCAACTTGCATGGTTGTACAAACGTCAAATGTTTAGCAATCATGTCACTACTTCCTATACCTCTGACAGACATGAGTAATTGATCACAGTCCTCTCTGTACTGAACTGCTCTTGCCTGGCACTGCTCAAACTTGCAGAGCAGCTGATCTGGGCTTCTCGATCTAGACTCAGAGACTCCCAGAAAAACAAAGGAAACATCCCTAAGGTTGCAATTCAGGACAAATAGGAGAGTTCCATGCCTACCCTCTCTCCTCTCCCACCTCCATACTAAGAACCAATTCACCCCAACTTTACTCCTATTTCCTGGGAAAGAGAGAGCAGATTACTAGGGAGCAGGCAAGGGAGAGGTGTGCTCTAGCATTCTGTGGCTGAGATGGCAGGCAGTGGGGGAATGTCGGCCAAGAATAAGAGACCTGCCTGTTTTCTGGGGGCCGATGATGAGGAGCTTTGGGAAACGGTCACAAGTCTTCTCCTTGGACCAGATGTCTTTGTGGCGTTTGTCCTCACAGGGATCCTAAAACGACAGTGGAAGGGAAGTGAGGGACACTCAAGATCCCAGTGAAAGGGCTGGCTCCCAATGCATATAGGTATGTGGCTCTGACAGCTCTGATAGGCATAATATCTACATGTGTCCTTGTCACAGCTCCATCTCCAAACATTGAGCTGCTGAAAGGCAGGGTCCATTTCTGGTTAGTCTCATGTCCCCTAAAGAGCCTGGAAAAATGCCCAGCTCTGTGCCTGGCATATAATAGGAACTCACAAGCACTTGTTGAGTTTAACTAGACAAGATGTATCTGAACCAGAGGTCAGCAAACTTTCCTATAAAGTTTAGTAAATCTTTTAGTAAATGTTTAGTAAATATTTTAGGCTTTGGCTACTATCCAGTTTCTACTGCAACAACCCAGCTCTGCTATTGTATCATGAAAGCAGCCATAGATAGTACAGACAAGAATGAGCATGGCTGTGTTCCAATAAAACTTTATTTATAAAAATAGACCACAGTCTGAATGTGGTCCATGAGTTGTGGTTTAAGGACCTCTAAACTATGAGACCACCACCAATTCCAGCTTATACTTCCAGATTTTAACAGCCTCTAAGTGCAGATGTTCCCAAGAACTAACTCCAAACCCTCCTATCAGTCCCTTTCCCAATGCTGGAGTTAGAAGGGGACATAAGAGATTATCCAAACATCTAACCAAGATTGGGCTATCACATTCTACAGTTCATCTATACTGTGTTCATTCAGTTTTTTAACACTGGTTTTTCCAAGGCCATGTACGAGTGCACGTGCAGGTAGGGTTATGTGAGGAGGTGTGTACACATATGTACATGTACGCATGTGTGCATAGGAGCAAGGGTGCCCACGATAGTGAGCAAATGCACATCTGAGTTTACATTCAAGAGAGAGTGTGAAGAAATGAGGGTTGAGCCTTGAGCCTGTGTCCGGAGCATGTGCCTGTGAGCAGTGGGCATTCCACCCCTGCAGCAAGGTGCCCAGGCTGTCCAGCCCCCCACCTGCCAGAGCGGGTCCTTTTCCTCAGAGAAGATCTGGAAGTACTTCTGGGCCAACTGCACAGGGGGCAGTGTCTGCAGCCGGAGGTTGGTCCAGGAATGCAGGAAGCGCACCAGGTGCTTGAAGGTATACAGGCCCAGGCGGTCATTCCCGTAGTTGGACAGGTGTGTCATGAAGATGCTGATCTGCTCCGGTGGAGGGGAGGACAATGGCAGGGGCTGGTCATCTGAGCCACCCTCCCCTCACCTCTGACCCTTCTGACCCTGCCTCAGCTTGCAGGGCTGCCCAAAGACCAGTGTGAGGTATCCTGGGGCCACTAACAGACTTGCTACGTGGCCTTGGGCTTGACTTGACATAGAAGCTATTTGTGTTTTATTTTGTAAATGGGGGGAGGGGGTATGGGAAATAAGAAATACTCAGTCCAGAAAGCTAAATAAACACCACCATTTGATACTTAGTATTAACAAAGTATGGATGATTATTTCCATTTTACAGATAAGGAAAAAGAGGCCCAGAAGGCTCAAATGAAGAGTAAAATATATACACATGTACATGTGTATGCCTATGTGTACAGTAGTACTTATATGTGCATGTATGTACACACAAAGACTAGAAAGGAAACATGCCCCCAAATGCTAATACTTTTGTATTAATATTAATAAAGCAAGCTCAGATTCTTTAGACAAGGTCATACAGCAGAGGCAGGACAAAGCCCAGGCTGGAGAGCAGGTCTCCCAACCACCAGGCCCTCACTGGTGCCTCTACACCCTTTCCTGACTCCAGGAAAGCTACATCAACTACAGACCGGCTGTCCAGCAGTCCCTCTGCACTACCGGACATGCTAGGGAGCACTCACAGGATTGAGGAGCACAGTGAGGAAGAGTTCGCCCCCGTTGATGATCTTATCCAGCTCACTGGAGCCACCAGGGTACTCGTTGTAGAAGATGGTGTGTGTGAAGAGGCCACAGGTCTGCCGCGGGAGGACCTGGGGATAGGGTGGGTGAGAGGAGCTCTGGCATCTCCAGGCATGGGCAGGAGTGGGAGGACCCTTCCTTAGGAGAAGAGCCAGGGTGTCTCCTCAGAAAGGCAGTCTCCATGTGGCTGTGAGCAGTGGGCATTCCACCCCTGCAGCGAGGTGCCCAGGCTGCCCAGCCCCCCACCTGCCAGAGCGGGTCCTTTGTGGGCACACAGCCCTCAAAGACTGTCCTGCAGGAGAGCCTGCAATATTCCCACAGGCAAACCACAGACCTTTCCTATTGTACAACTGCTTTCCTTCACTGCTATTCTCTGCACAAAATGAGCAGGCCTAAAAGTAACAGAATGGGAAAGTTTCTGGAAATGTGGACTTTGCAGCAAGAATTATTGGCCCTCTCTATAGCAGCTCCTGGTTGCTCCTTGCAAGCCCCCTCACAGCATTAGAACTTTGCCTAATGGCCCTTGTGGTCACACGCTGGCTTAGTATTTTTATTGTCTGTGGGCTCTGAGGGAGGAGGGAACAAGCCTGCCTTGTCACCACCACATCCCCAAAGCTCACGTTGAGTGCCCAGTATTGAGGTGGTCTGTGGGTGGGTGGGTGGAGGGACGGACGGACAGATGGATGGATGAAGGCACAAACTTTGCCTTCCCACAGCTTCCCATCCAACTAAGAACAACTCATCCTTCCAGTACCCTGGGCTAAAATCCTTAAAGTCATCCTCGACTTCTCTCTCTCCCCCACACCCTAACACTCATCTAACCCACTGTATCTATTCTAAGTCCAGAATGTGACTACATCCCAAATCTGTGACCTGGTCTAAGCCACTGCCACTCCTTATCTGGAAGTCTGTAATACTTCCTCCCTGGTCCCCAGCTCTGACTTTTATCCCCAACAGTCACTGTTTCATAGAACAGCTGGAAAGGGGGAGATCTTTTTAAAAGACAAGTCAGATCGTGCTCCATTCAAAACTCTCCCATCTCAGACTCAAAGCTGAAGTCCATCCATTACCTGGCCTTATGTGGCCCTAACAATCTGGCACATCACCCCTCAGTCCTCACCTACTCACCTCCCCTTGCTCACTACCCTAAGCCATACTGACCTTCTCATTGGCCCTCGAACACACCAAGGACAGCCTGCCTCAGGGCCTTAGCACTTGCTGTTTCACTGACTTGGATGCTCTTCCTTATACAGCAGCATGGCTCACAGCACACAAAGGCCCTCCTAACCACCTCACTTAAAATGGCTTATCCTGGCTGAGCGAGGTAGCTCATGCCAGGAATCTCAACACTCTGGAAGAGGCCAAGATGGGAGGATCCCTTGAGGCCAGGAATTCGAGGCTTCTGTGAACTATGAACACACCACTACTGTCTAACCTGGGTGACAGACCAAGACCTTGCTTCTAAAAAAAGACAAAATAGCTCTTCCTCTTCCCCACACTCCTTATCTCCCTTCCCTGCTGACTTTTCCACATGACACTTATGACCACCTGGCCATTATATACTTCACACATGTCTCCTGCCACTAGCATGTCCAATCCGCAAAGGAAGGAACTTTTCTTAGTGTTAGGTACTTCCAGGTCTCCAGTGCCTAAAAGATGGACAGATGCGTAGTAGCAGCTCAAGAAGTATCTTAAAGTGAGCAAATGAATGTAGCAGAGCCCTGTCCTCCATCCTCATCAGAAACCCCTTTCAAGAATGCTCACTCCTCCATCCCCTGTCATAAAAACTAAGAAGGAGCTCATGAAAGGGGCCAGACTCGCAACCCACCTTTCCTGCGGAGGACAGCCACAGATGCCAGAGGAGGTAGCAGAAACTGATCTGGAGCCCCTAAGCCAGCCAACCAAAGCCACACTTCCCACGACAGTGCATGGGTGCACGTGCACACCCGCACGCGTACACACACACCCCTAAAGGTATGCCACCAGTCTCCCACCTCCGGGAGGGAGTGCCCAGTGGCCCCCTCACCATGATGCCGTTGTGGATGAATCCGCGACGGTAGCGGGCCGGCTTCAGGTGGGGGTACTCCTCTGTGCTGGTCACGCGGATGCTCCACACCTGCTTCCAGGCCTCATATAGCTGTACGTGCACAGGGTACACACCCGAGTGATGGGGCGCCACTGCATACCCCATGTCTGTGGGAATGCCGTGCTCCTGGGGAGAGGACGACCAGGGCAGGGTGAGCAAGGGGGTCCTTCCCCTTAGGCCTTAATCCCCCTTGTAGAATGGGAACGAGAAATCAGAAGCCAGATGCTGGGCAGCTGGTCCAAGGCCTCATGGTACAGATGAGGAAACTGAGGCCTAGGAGGAAAAGAAATGTGCCCAGAATCTCACAGTGAATCTCAGACTGGCAAAGTGGGGGTTAGAACCCAGGTCCCTTCCTTTTGCCCCAGTGCACGTGCCCTGCAGCGCAGAGGAGACGCACCCAGCAGTGAGGGACAAGGACAAGGCCTTTTCCTGCCTGCTCTCGCCTCCACTCGGCTGGTGGGCCTAGGCTAACCTACCTTGCACCCAGGGCTCAGTCCTCATCAAGCACTCTTCCAGCTTCCCAGAGCCTCCCACCTAGTAAAGGTGTGGTCTCAAGAGACAAACAGGCCTGGGATTAAGTCCTGACTGGACCTCTTAGGACTGGTGTGCCTCGATTTCTTATCTGTAAAGTGGGGCTATTCTTTTGAGGGTTCGAGGAGAAAATGGATATAAATGCAGCTTGCCCGGGGCCCTGGCACAGAGACGTCAGTAAAAATCTGTCAGAGCAAACTGTGAAAGCAGCGAGAGGCTAGCAGTCCAGACCCCCAGCACAGCCCCTAGCCCGCCCGGCTCTGCCCTGTAGGGAATCTTACTCACGACAGCGAACTTCTTGTTCAGGGCCATCTGCTCGGCCAGCACAGACTGGTTGTGGAAAAGGTGGGGCTGCATGTGGCTCCACATGTGGGGGAACCACCAGAATTCCTTCACGTACGACAGCAGCAGGTCGTCCCCAGCATCCTCAGCATCAGTACCTGTGGCCCAGCACAGGCAGCTCAGCCCAGCCCACTGGGCCATGAGGCCCCCAATGTGGGCCTGTAACCAGCGGTGGTAGCACGTGCCCAGAAGAGTCATCAAGCCATAGCATGCAAGCAGACAGAGCCCCAGTGAGCCCTGGATTCTAGTCTAGAGCATCCCCTTTACTCAGTCAGAGTCCTTAGCCAAGACCTTCTCCTCTCTGGGCCTTTGGGCCCAATCTGTACAACACAGGGTTCAGAGTTGGCGATCTCAAGTCTCCCAACCCTGATGTGTCTGCTCTGATCTTTTTCTAATGACCCAACCTGGGTCACTCCTATCTACTGATTCGTATAGGCTCTCTGTATGGATACAGGATGCTTAGGTGTACACCCACATGTACACACCCCCCCACAGGTATGCCACCTCCCTCCCACCTGGCAGCCCACTACCATATATATCACTATAACCACCTCTGATGTATTAAGGGTTATGAATATAAAAATGCAAATAGGCTACACAGGAGCACTTCTATTCGGCGTGGGGGCTATGCTGCATATCCCCATCCCCTGAATTGCTCACTAAAACAATTTTGCCTAGAATTCAAGAGAGGTTGTCCTCACTGAGGCCTGAGCAGAAAAAATGGCCACTACAAATTACTGACTCAGGGGCTGTTCCCTTCTGCACAGTCCCTGAAGGGCAGCGGATCAGTAACCTGAGAGCCCAAGAGAGGAAGTAAGGCATGAACCAAGCAACCTACAGCCCTCATCCTCAACCCTGTGACTCTAAAGCAAATTCAGGTCATTAGTCATCCTGTGCTGTATGTTTCTGTGGGGTTTTTAAAATTCAGGCAGTTTCTTTTATAGGAAGAAATAATACAAATAATTTTAAAATGCAGGGGGCAGTGGGGTAAGAAAGAGAAAAGGACTCCAGGGACAGCATGAAGGCCAGGGAGGGATCAATGGAAACCACTATGGTTCTGGCTGCTGTCTGCAGTTGCCTTATCCCCCAATGGCCTCCACCTAGGGCTGTGACTGACCTCATCGGCTATTAGCTCTGGAAGGCCAAACAAGGGAAATCTGCTCCCAATGGAGGCTGACAGGCCCACCTGCTACCGGCATGGCACTGTGCTTTGAGGAGCCCCTGGGAATCGCTAGTGAGGCAGGGGCAGGCCCACTTACCTGTGTGGAAGAATTTCCCTGAGTAGCCCAGGTTGAAGGTGAAGTTTGGGATGTGTGTACGTAGCTCATTCTGCGTATCAAACAGGGCCTAGGGTAGACAAAAGAGAAAGGAGGGAGTGGAGGGAGGCCAGGAGCTCCCTGCTGCTCCCACTGAAGGCCCAGGAAGCACTCTGTGGCTGCAAAGGCCAGCTACAAGGCCAGGAGTCAGTGAAAAATGAAACCTTGGAGCCCATGTTTAAAAATTATGAAGAATGTGGGCAGTGCCTGTGGCTCAAAGGAATAGGACAGAAGTGGTGGGTTCAAACCCAGCCCTGGCCAAAAACTGCAAAAAAAAAAAAAATTATGAAGAATGTGAAGAAAGCAACAGCAGAGCATTAGTCCACGCACAGACCCTTCTGAGCACAGGGCTAGGTGACAGCACAGGTCATACCCCTGTGAAGCCAGCCCAGCACCGCCTCGTCCACTGGGCCTCTGGCAAGAGGAGACACAGACCCCAGCCTGCTCTGCCACATGTCCATGAAAATGGTTCTCTAAACTTGGTTTCCTCAAGTGTAAAGTAAGGATGATAATATTTCCCTTTTGGGCTCTTGGGAGAATTCAGTGAGATACTCCATGTAAAACTACTTAACATTTGGTAAGTGAAGAAAAATGGTGGCCATGCTATATCTGTTGTCACCGCCGCTGTGAGCCTGTGTCTTCATCTGTCAAATGCAGAGGATTTCTCCTTGCTGGTGGAATGCAAGGCTGAGGTCAAAGTATCATGACCTTTCCAAGGATGACTACATGCCCGGCTACACAATGCTCCCATGTACAGCACACCCAGCACTTTGCAAGTCAATGAAGGGATGTTGACACTTGTGGAACAAACAGATAGTTGTACTCTGGGGTTAAGACTGCCCAATTCATAAAGCTGCTAAGAAACCTGTTAAAAGGGTGGCGGCGCCTGTGGCTTAGTGAGTAGGGCGCCAGCCCCATATACCAAGGGTGGCTGGTTCAAACCTGGCCCCAGCCAAATTGCAACAAAAAACAGCCGGGTGTTATGGCAGGCACCTGTGGTCCCACCTACTTGGGAGGCTGAGGCAAGAGAATCACCTAAGCCCAAGAACTGGAGGTTGCTATGAGCTGTGATGCCACGGCACTCTACCGAGGGCAACAAAGTGACTGCTGCTCTGCTCAGTCAGAAAAAAGAAACCTGTAAGAGCCTGCTATCAGGATACTCTGCAAACTGAAAGTCCTGGCCACACACTGGCTAGGGAACATGCACACTCCGATTGTGTGGCCTGAGCGAGTTACTTCACCTTCAGAGCCTCAGTGCTCTCCTGTGTAAAATGAGATTCATAACAATATGCACTTGCCAGGGCTGCCGTAAGGACCAAGTGGGGCAAAGCACAGAGAGGGCTGAGCACAGGGCCTGGTGCTCACCAAACCTTAAACAAGTGGCTGCTGTTGGTATTATTCAAATTGCACCACACAGCCAGCACTGCACAAGCTAATGAAGTGACATTCACAACTGAGAGAAGGGCTCAGTTGTAGTCTGTTCTTGGGATTAAAGAGGACAACACTGGGTCCTTTCTGACTCACAGTGATGTTTAAGGCACAGGAGACTGGCTGGAGCAGCAGTTCGCAGTCTGAACTGAGCTGAGTGCACGGTAGAGGGAGCCTCTGTTTACATTTGTCTACTTGCATTCTATTTTTCTACTTGTAGATTCTATTTATATTCTTCTACAGAAATGGTTCTGAACTGCTATCATTCCTCACATTTTAAAAGTGGGGAAGGCGGGCGCGGTGGCTCACACCTGTAATCCTAGCACTCTGGGAGGCTGAAACAAGTGAACTGCTTGAGCTCAGGAGTTGGAGACCAGCCTAAACAAGAGCAAGACCTCATCTCTACCAAAAATAGAAAAGAAAAAAATTTGTTTTAATGGAGAAAATAAAGAACCAAAAAGGGCAATCCAGGGTTCACGTGAGACAGTGTAAGTCTGGCAGTCTAATTTCCTCATGGGGCCAACTCCAGATCACAGTCTCACCTGGACTCTTCCCAGATAAGCAGCAAGGACCTAGCTTCTATCAGGAGAAAACAAGGTTGGACCAGTGGAGAAAACTCCTAAGTAGAAAACACAGCAATCTACTTTTCCAGTTGTAAGTCATGGCATTGCATGAAGACAGAACTAGAAGGCTAAAATTTTCTTTAAACAGGAAAGCCCTTGAGGGAATGAAATCTCAGGAGGAAACAGTGCATGAAAGCAGACTAAAGTGACACTGCCCTGTCCAACTGAGGCCGGAGCCTGGAAGACTGAGCCTGGCTGTCTAAACACCCCCCTAAATCCCACCCCAGCTAGCCAGGCACCCCTGGGCACCAGGAAAGACTGAAAACCTCCCATGTACCCTATTGTTTTACAGTTGAGGTTCAGACATGGAAAGGGACTTGCCTAAGTCACCTAATCAATCAAGGTCAAATTGGGACTTGACTCAAATTAGGTCTTGACTCTTTGGCCAGTGTCTGCTCCTTGTTCTGTTCTTTTCCTCTGGAAGTCTAAGGAAGAGCAGAGAACTCACTCCTCACAAAAGCAGGGCGATGAACACCACTGGGACCTTCCTTCCAAGCCCCATGACCAAGTCCTACCAGTGATTTTAGGTGGATAGAGAACACAGCACCAGCTAGCTTGAATAACTCAGAGAGAAAAGCATGCCTCTTATAAATCTCTTTTTAAAGCCTCCTACTAACATCAAAGAGAAGTCCTGGTTTGGTGCTAATATGTTTCTAACACTTGCTAATCTCCCATAAGAGAGGACAGGCTGTCAGCAGGCAGCAAGAGTCTCTAGAATTTAATCCTCCTGTTTTGTTTTCATTGGATTTATTGTTATGGTTGCTCTCTATTTATGGTGACTGATCCTGATTTCCCATTTACACTAGGATGCCATCTCTGTTGCAAATAACTTTAAGTAAAACATTGAATAGATGGAAACTGTATTTTAAAGATTGCTTAATAGTCTTAATTTGTAGGCTTCCCTTTCACAGTGATAGTTCACATGTGTATAAAATGTTTTCAATGTGCTATTCCATACAGTTTTTTTTGGTAAACACTTTTGGAATTAGACACGTGCATTCTACTATCCACATATACCTCAGTTAAAACATGCCTGATGTCTAATCTTAGCTCTCATTCTTGTTTTAAGAGTCTTGCAGGAGCTCTGACATTAAAATAAACTTTTTCTTTTTTTTTTTTTAGAGACAAGTTCTTACTCTGTCTCCCAGGCTGCAATGCAGTGGTGCAATCATAGCTCATTGTAACCTCAAACTCCTGGGCGTGAGGGATTCTCCCCAGTAACTGGGATTGTGGTTAGCTAATTTTTTTTTTTT